GAATGTTATAATACTTCAAGTGGTCATCCAAATACTTCTTAAAAGTTGGTGAGGTTTCCCACCTCAATTACCCTCCTACGCAGGGCATTCTTATTACCCCAGAGCGAAACCATTTTTCCTCAACTCCCCTCTAAAACTCCTCCTTTTCACCTTAAAACTAAGCTCCCTTGTCATTCAACATTCAACTAAAGGGGACAGTTTTTTATTCACCCTGTCCATGCGCCTCAAAACATCTTATACATATCAATCAGGTCTTCTCTCAGCCTTCTCTGCTCTAAGTGGAACAGCCTGAGCCTATCCAGCCTCTCTTCATCCCAGGCAACATCCTGGTGATTCTCCTTTACATCCCCTCCAGTGTAATCACATCCTTCCTACAGTGTGTTGATCAAACTGCACACAGTACTCCAGCTGTGGCCTAACTAAAGTCCTGTATTGCTCCAGCATAACCTCCCTGCTCTTATAATCCATGCCTCGACTGATAAAGGCAAGTGTCCCTTATGCCTTCTTAACTATCCTGTTAAACTGTCCTTCAGGGAACTGTGGACAAGCATTCTTGAAGATTCTTGTGTTCATCTGAGTTTCGTATAGTGTCCTGCCAGTCATTGTGTACTCCCTTGTCTTGTTATTTCTTTCAAATCACTTCACATTTATCAGAATTCAATTCCATGTGTCACTGATCTGACCATCTGTCTAATCCATCTGTATCTCCCTGTAATTTAAGACCTTCTTCCTCACTATTAACCACCCAGTCAATCTTTGTGTCATCCACAAATGCACTTACCATACACGCCGGCATTCTCTTCAATTTTCTTTATATTTATCACAAATAAAAAGGGACCTAGCATTGACCACTATGATATGTCACTGCGCACCCTGCTTCAGTCACATAAACAGTGTTCTACCACAACCCTTTGTCTCTTACCACTAATTTTGTATTCCCCAACTTGCCAAGTGACCATGAATCCCATGTCCTTTTGAGACATTGTCAAAGGCTTTGCTAAAATATATATGAGCTTTATCAACTGCACTACCCACAGGCTGCACCTGATGAAGGAGCAGTGCCCTGAAAGCTTGTGATTTCAAATGAACCTGTTGGACTATAACCTGATGTGATATGACTTCTGACTTTTGTCCACCCCAGTCCAACGTCGACACCTCCTCGTCATGGCTACCCTCATCTACACACTGGTCACGTCCTTGAAAAATTCAATTAAAATTGTTTGGCATGAGCTCCCTCTGACAAAACCATGCTGACTATTCCTGATCAAACCTTCCTCTCCAAGTGAAAACTAATTCACCCTTCATAATTTTCTCCAATAGTTTCCCTACCACTAATGTGAGACTCACTTGTCTGCAATCCCCTGGTTTATCTTTGCCACCTTCTTTGTAAAGTGGAACCACATTCATTGTCCTCCAGTCCCTCCCCTGTGGTCAGAGAATCATAGAATCCCCACAGTGCAGAAGGAAGCCATTCAGCCCATTAAGTCGTCACCAACCTTCCAAAAAGCATTTCAACCAGACCCACCCCCCTACCCTATCTCTGTAACCCATAGCTAATCCACCTAGCCTGCACATGAGACAATTTCAACATGGTCAATCCACACATCCTGCACAGCTTTGGACTGTGAGAGGAAACCTGAGCACCCAGAGGAAACCTATGTAGACACAGGGAGAACATGCAAATAACACACAAACAGGCCGAGGCTGGAATTGAACCTGAGTCCCTGTCATTGTGAGGCAGCAGTGCTAACTACTGAGACATTGTGCCACCCCCTAAACATTTGGGCAAAGCCCTGCAATCTGTTCTCATGTCTACAACTCAAGCCTGGGACACAACTCATCCAGGACCTTGGAATTCGTCCACTTTTAAGCCCATCAAAACATCCAATACCTCCTCACTGTCCCCGCCAAACTGCTCAAGAACTCACAATCCTTATTCTCGAAATCTGTACCTACATTCTCCTTCTGGGGAAAGATAGTTCTTCTTATCATATGGATGAGGGCGTCACAGGCCAGGCTAGCATTTATCGCCCATCCCTAATTGTCCAGAGGGCAGTTAAGAATCAACCACATTGCTGTGAGTCTGGAGTCACATGTAGGCCAGACCAGGTAAGGATGACAGTTTCCTTCCCTAAAGGACATTAGTGAACCAGGTGGGATTTCCCGACAATCGACAATGGATTCATGGTCACTATTAGATTCTTAATTCCAGAATATTACCTGGCTCTCTGGATTAACAGTCCAGCAATAATACCATTAGACCATCACCTCCCCTCATTAAACACTCTGTCAATGACCTTTGGCTCCATATACAGATTGCCCCCTTGGTCCTTAATGGGGCCTTGTTCTTTTCCTGGTTTTGGACTGTGCCAGCAGGGACGATGGCAGGGGTGTTGGCATTGAGCACCAGGCAGAGGAACCATGTCCGCAAGAGGGTGGTGGGCTCAGGGCATGTGAAAGGAAGTGGGGTGGGGTCACTGGAGAGGCTGGTCAGCAGCAACGGCATGGCATTGGCTATCAGCAGAATACCTGCTCTGATGCCATGTCCCTTGACCAGGCAGAAGATCCCAACTGATTTAACAAACCAACAGAAAGGAGTGTGAACCAGACAGGCACTAGGGCCCAGTGAGTGCACAGCAGCTTCCCTACGTCACAGGGCATCTCAATCTGGAATAAAGTTGCCACATAGAATGAGTTACTGGTTACATGAAGCTGGTAGTGGCTTGCTGCAGTGAGAGAGCAATCTATCAGGTGAGTATGCTTTATAGTTTATTATAATAGAAATGATATACAGAGCCAACCACTTTGATTGCTGTTTGCAGAGAGATTCAAATTGCAGCAGGAATGAAAATCTAGCCTTGCACTTTTTGTTCGAAATGACTACATTGGAAAGGACAGGTTTACATCCTGACAGCCAATGTACTGACTTTAAGCACTTTCTCTTGTTAACACTATCACATTTGTGAAAGAATATTTTAGAAAAAGGGAAGTGGTTAACAAGTAAAAGGAAGATGCTACTTTTGAGGATGAAAACATCTGTTCGTCTTATTCTGCCTGTCAGTGAAAAACCAACTGCTTGCTCATCTCTTCTATTAAATCGCGTAACTTGAGGGCATACACTTATAACAACTGGAGGCTGTTTTGAATCATTGCAATGAGTCGGTCTCTCAGCAAATACTGCTTTCAAATGCTCGATCCAGAAATGAGATTCCTCTTTTGTTTCTCTTGTAAGTCAAGCTCTTTTATTGTTAGTGTTTTTGAGAACAGCAGAAATAGGAACAGACTTGTATGGTCCTCAGGTTTGTTCCGCTGTTTAGTATTGTCATGTCAGCCTTCCATTTAAGACTGAGATAAAAAGAAATATTTTCTCTCAGGAGGGCTTGTGACTCTTTGAAACTCTCTTCCCCAGAAAGCACTGGAGGCAGGATGACTGAATATTCTTAATACGATGGATAGATTCTTGATGAACAATAGATTCAAAGGTTATTGGAGTAAGAGGGAGGGTTGAGTCAGGTCAACTGTAATCTTATTGAATGACGAAGCAGGCCCAAGGAACCAAATGTCATAGAATCATAGAACTCCTACAGTGCAGAAGCAGCCCATTTGGCTCATTGAGTCCACACCAACCCTCCAAAGAGCATCCCACCCAGACCTAATGCACTACCTTATCCCTGTATTTCCCATGGCAACCAGCCTCACATCCCTGGACACTACAGGCAATTTCGCATGGCCAATCCACCTAACCTGCACATCTTTGGACCGTGCAAGGAAACCGGAGCACCCAGAGGAAACTCATGCAGGCACGTGCAAATTGCACACAGACAGTCACCCGAAGGTGGAATTGAACCTGCATCCCTCGCATTGTGAGGCAGCAGTGCTAACCACTGAGCCACCATGTTGCCCAAAATGCCCTGCTTCTGCATCTAGTTTGTAAGTTCGCATGAATATATATCATTGTAGGCGAACTAAACCGAAATACTGCAAGTGGTGGAAATGTAATGCACAATGTAACAAACACAGACTGGTCAGGCAACATCTGCAGAGACTCGAAAACACAGACAGAGGTAAACAAGCTGTTCAAGTAGACTGGAAGTTATTGCTGAGTTATATGGCACAAGAAGAGACAGGGAGGTGGGATAGGTCTGAATTGAGTATTGAGGGTTGTCTTGAATGTTCAAAACTAATGATTTCAAGGTTATTACCAACTGAGCATTTTCTATCTTTTCAAGCTTTTTAAGATTACAAAATAAGTCTTGCATTTGCCAATTCACACCATATCAAAGTTCAGCAGGAAATAGGTAAGGCAAATAGACATTTTTGTTTCAAAGTATAAGAACAATGAATTATTGTTAAAACTGTACAAGGTGCTGGTCAGACCACACCTAGAAGGCTGTGAATAGTTTTGGGCTAGGGAGCAAATTTTTAAAGGTGACATAAGAAAGATTTAAAAAAGACATGAGGGTCAATTTTTTCACACAGGTTCATGTGTGAAATGAGCTTCCAGAGGAAGTGGTGGATACCGGTACAATTACAATGTTTGAATGACATTTAGTTAAGTAAATGAATAAGAAATTTTTGGAAGGATTTGGGCCAACCCCAGGCAGCTGGGAGTGATTTAGTTTGGGACTATGGTCAAAATGGGCTGTTTGGGCCAAAGGATCTGTTTCCATGCTGTATGACTCTATTACCCCAGGAAAGATTTAGTAGTTTGCGTTTGTAATCATTGGAGTTTAGAAGAATGAGAGGAGACCTTAGATTCCTATTAGGGGCCCTGACAGTGTAAGTGCAGAGAGGTTGTTGTGGGAGAGTTTGGGGTCAGAGGGTGTCATCCCAGAGTTAGGAGTCACATATTTAAAACAGGGATGAGGAGAATGTTTTTCTCTCACACAAGTCTGTGGAATTCTTTATCACAGAGAGCTGTTAAGGCTATGTCATTAAGTATACTAGAGGCTGAGAAAGAGTTTGAATCAGTAAGGGAATCAATGGTTATGTAGATAAGGCAGGAAAGTGGAGTTGAGGATCAACAGATTATCTATGACCACAATGAATGGCAGAGCAGATGGGCTGAATGGTCTACTCCTGCTCCATTGGCTTGTGGAGCAGATAAATTAACTTGGGGGGGTGGAGTTGCTTCAGGACTTTGCTCATAAGAATATATGACACAGCAGCAGGAGTTGACCATACAATCTTACAAGCCTTCATTTCCATACCTTTTGTGAGACTGTGTGCCTGCATGCTAGAATTCCCAGAAAAGGGAAATAATGTCTACCGTAAAAAATCCCATAAAGAATCTTGCATGCTTCAATGAGGTTTAATCTCATCTTACTAAATGTACAGACATTGGCCTTATTTTCCCAGCCTCTCATCATACCAAACATACATAGTATTCTAAGTCTGGTCTCATCAATGTTCTGTACAATCGTGATTAGATGTTCATTTTTGTAATCCAAACCCCTTGTAAGAAAGGCAAACACATACTTGCCTTTGCATTAGCTTGCTGTTCCTGCATGCTAACTTCCTTGTTCCTTTTGCGGCTGCACGCAAGTGGAATTATTGATGGTGTGTTCCTTCCCTGGTGCCAGGGTCAAGAATGCCACTAAGCAGCTGCAGGGCATTCTGAAGGGGGAGGGAAAATAGCCAGAGGTTTCGGTCCAGGTTGGTAAAAGAAAAGGAGAGAGGTCTTGCAAGCAGGATATAGGGAGCCAGGAAATAAATTTAAAAACGTGATCTCAAAAGGTAGCAATATTAGGATTACACTCAGCGCTACATGCTAGAGAACTCAGGGAAAAGAGAATAGGCCAGTTGAATGTATGATTGAGAGGCTGTTGGAAAAGGAAGGGATTTAGATTCTTAAGACATTGGGACCAATTCTGAGGAAGTTGGACAAACTGACAGGTCACACACCAGCAGGACTGGAATCTAAATCCATGTAGAAGTATTTGCTAGTGAATTGGGGGATTTTAAACAAGAGGGGCAGAAGGATGGGAATCTGAGTGGGGAGACACAAGAAAGGGAAACAAAGATGACAATGAATGATAGGAAAGAAAAATTGCAAAGCAGAGGAAACAAGGCCAAGCACCAAGTAGGGGTTCAATATGAAACAAAAGTAAAATTGTATAATGCATTCCCATTTTTAAAAGTTTTAAATGCACTTACCTCATCACTAGTCTAATTGTGTCATGTCTACCTGTTTTATTAAAGTGAGAGATCATTGATTGTAATGTAAACGCCAATGTTTGATGCTTGAAAACATTCTTCCAAAAGCAGGGATAAACTTATAAAGGAAGACTTATTTTTGGGAAGGAAAAATATTTTCAATATTTGATTTGATAAATCCTAATTTATGGAAATCCAGTGGCATACAGTAGACATTTCAGCAAAAAAGAAAATAAATTATTTTTCACCTGTCTAACAGCAGGAAAAGAAAATGAGAGATGGACTGAACGCATACTATCCATTCACAAATTCAGCCCTTTTCTTATCTTTCTATTGCAGTCTCTGAATAGACAAATAACATTAGGGACTACAGATTTTTATTTGATTAATTGATGCAAGTGAAACACCAAAGAAGGAATGAAGCTGCATTCAAATCAGTTGAAATAATGCAGTTAATGCAAAGGTTTTTACTTATTTATATGGCCTAAAGACTACCTTTAAGTCTATGGGATGTGAACTCTGCACTGAAGCCCATAGTAAGTGTCATGGATAAAGAAGGACCCATTGTGAATAAGGGCCACTAGACTCAAAAAGTTAATTCTGCTTTCTCTCCGTAGATGTTGCCAGACCTGTTGGATTTCTCCAGCAATTTCTTTTTTTTTTCAGATTCCCTGCATCCACAGTTGTGAAATGCAAACAAACTATCAGGATTTATTGCACAATAGATGGAGGGATGTGGACCAAGAGCAGGCAGAAGGGATTAGTTTAATTTGGTGTCATGTTCAGCACAACCTTGTGGGTTGAAGTGCCCATCCCTGTGCTGTACAGTTCTATGTTCTATGTTCTAATAGTTTAAGACTTAACATTCTACTAGTTGGAGAATAGCATAGTGCATGTGTCAGTGTACAATTCTGTAGATATCGGAATCTTTGAGGTTTTCTCTTCTTGGTTCTTTGGAGCTTATCCCTTGTTTCCCAAACTCTTGAAATTAGTCTTCTGACTTACAACATACTTTAAGGTTTCATCTTTGCCAGTTTCACTAATGTACATGCAAATCCACCCAGCAGCGATAAGGCTTCAACTTTGAATTCCCAGTCAACCTGAACCGCTGTAGCCATAGATACTTACTAAATGCTTCTCTCCCTCTCTATTAGGATAGACTGGATAGGCTGGGACTTTTTCACTGGAGGGTAGGAGGTTGAGGGGTGACGTTACAGGGATTTATAAAATCATGAAGGGCATAGATAAGGTAAATAGCAAAGTTTTTTTTTCCCTAGGATGGGGGAGTTCAAAACTAGGAGGCACATTTTTAAGGTGAGAGGAAAAATATTTAAAAAGGACATGAGGGACAACTTGTTCATACAGAAGTTAGTTTGTATGTGGAATGAACTGCCAGAGGAAGTGATGGAGCCGTGCTCAATTACAACAATTTGAATAAGTATATGAATATGAAAAGTTAAAAGGAAATGGGCAAAATGCAGGCAAGTTGGACTAGTTCAGTTTGGGAAACATGGCCAGCATGAACTGGTTGGACCAAAGGGTCCATTTCCATGCTGTATCACTCAATAACTCTATGCTCCCTTCTGACAGGAGCT